ATATATATATATATATATATATATATATATATATATATATATATATATATATATATATATATATATATATATATATATCAGAAGGAGAACTAACCTATAACAATGAGCAGGATTAAGCTGATCTGCATCTAAAACATGGAAGGGCAGTGCATGGCTCGACGCTGACTACCTGCCAGATGTCAGCGCAGGGCGTACTGTGTATCTTCATCAGTTTTGGTTTCATGGTGGAGCAAGGACAATCATAGCACTTCTGCATCCGGTACCCTAGATGTTAGGTGAGGCAATGGATTGAAGATTTAGCTGGAGTGATGGCTCACCGTTAAAGGCTAGGCTCACCACCAAAAATATAAGATTTAGCCTGGTGCCAGGCCCAGGCAAGATTCCCAAAGCAGGGTCTCTGTGTCTAAGGCGGCAGAGGAGGGGTGACAAGAAAGCCGGAGCCCTGCAGCTTCGAACAGAACGGGGCGGGGTGAAGCTGGGGCATCTACCCTGTAGTGTGTCTTGCTGTCCTACTGTGAGATAGCTTTCTTGGGCTACCTTAGCCCCTGATAAGTCCTCAGAGCCGTTGTTCAAAAATCTCGGTCTCAGGGTGATAGTTGCAAATTCTAATTGTACTAGAGCGAGTATTTCTCTCTGCAATGCTGCGGGGCAGTCCGCACATACTGTTGAGATGCGTCTTTAACGTGAAGGGCCACATGGGGGAGATAAATTACGCATGTCAAGATTACATCATCTACGACAGCTGGGGGATGAGCTACAACCATGAATGAAGCAGAGGGGTTCCTTGTTGGGAGGTTACCAAGGGCAAAGAGTGGTCTGTCCTGGCAGGGCACCTCCCCCCCCTTCCAGGACTGATGATGCATTTGGAAGGTAATACAAAGCAGATTGGCCCCTTGTAGGCTTCGCTGTGGGTTTGCAGTTCTCTACAATGTACTTCCTTGTTGCTGGCTCTTGGGGTAAGCCATTTCCTTTCCTCATTCTTGGGACACCACTGCTGTTGTGCCTCTCCAGTGGGAAGAGAGAGACAATGGCAGATGGTCTGCAGTCTCTTAAGGAGATGAAGACACATTAGAGGGAGGTAAGAGAGGTAGAAAGTGAGGGGTAGGGGAAAGCTACCATTTTGGAACTGGTGGTGATAACAGTACTCTTTTGATATATGGATTTACATACACAGCATGGTCGTGCTTCTTTTTTTTTTTACTCTTTCATGTTTATGGAGTTCCAGCTCTGGAGCAGGAACTGTGCTGAGCTCAGCTCACTGCACAGCTGGTGTGGTAGACAGCCTTACCAGGAGAGTCACGTGAGGATCATGCCTGATGTGTGTGGGTCCCGAAGTGGGTCTCGGGGAGTCATTAGCATAGTGTGCAGTCAGTAAGTTTAGGGCTCCATCAGAATTGCCATCTGAAAGCAATACGGGCTGCTGTGGGGGCAGCGCACGAACAGCATGGAGGTACGGATGACCTCAGCCACTAGGAGGTAAGGTCCCTTTGGCTTCCCCTTGCTTTGCATAGACCCCAACCTCCAGAAGACTGGGCCTCTCCATCAATCCTCCAAAAGACAAAAACAGATTGCACTGTCCAAATGGAAGGAGGTCAGAAGGCAAATGAATACATTTTCTGCCAGCTGCTAAGAAGCTCATAATTTTTTTCTTTATTCCATTTATTCCAGATGCTATAGACAGCATTGGCTACTCAAAGAGGGACCCACATATCAACCATGATCTGATGTCTGTCTAGTTTGTGAAAATCCCTTTGGTGTAAGAGACACATTCAGAGTACAGAGTCCCCAAAGAGCCTACTGTGCGCTGCCAGGATCCTTGACAGTGTGATCGTGAGAAGGGAGAACTTACAGTGCAGATTAATCCCAAACAGCCATGACTAGTTTTGAGGGCAGTGCTCATGAATTCTTCCTTTAAATGCTTTGGAAGGAACCACAACATTTTCCTAAATCTATGAAACCCTTGGACTGATAGCTGTTTAGTAAGATAAAGGCGTGACTATGCTGAATTTTGGGAGGGGAGGCAAACTGTGAGAAAGACTTGTAATGCTTAAGATCCTCTGAAATTGCCAACAAATATTGTGGTTGCTGGGTGCAGGGGCTAGTCTGCGTTTCTCTGGACACTGAGTAACTTTTGTTTGGACAGGCAGTTACTCTGTTCAGACACCAACTGTAGACTCTCTCTTGAGAACTGGTTCAGGTTTCAGTTCCCCTCCACACACAGCAAGAGATGGAGGCTGTTATACACTGATTCTGGGGTGCCCCTCTGTTTCCCAAGAGCCCCCTCCCCCCCCGTTAAGTTTTCAGCATCCTTGCTTCTCCCAGACTCCCATTTCTCATTCTTCAGGCCTGAGAATCCTTGGGTTTCTATCGGAGTTTCAGTTACTTTGTGTTTTAACTTTGGTTAGCTAAGAGCTGTAAGCAGACCATCACTTTCTGCCATCATTTTCCTCTGAGCCTCAAAGCCACTCCAGAATCCTGTTGCTTTTGTCCACTTTTGGCATCTCTGGGTAGTTATGCCCTCCCACAGCTTAAAGTTTCCCCCTGCTGGAAGATCAGGTCGGGCAGGAGCTTGCCATTCGTCTCAGAAGCAGGGGAAGAAGCTATTGGAGATCCTTCCGAATTCTGTATTTGGTTGGCTGCTCTGGCTTTGATGTCACAGGCCTTCTGACAGTATCCCCTGGTTCATTGCTCTATGTAAGCTCTGTGTGCAAACCACCACGCTCAGAGGATGGACTTTACTAAAGAGTGATCAGATAGGGACTGGCTATTTATTTCCAATTAAAATTACTAAAATGGGGAGGGGGCAGGAGAGATGGCTCAGTGACCATCTGAGGGCACAAGTTCAATTACCAACATCTATATCTGGCAGCTCACAACTACCTGTAATTCTAGCTCCAAGGAATCTGACACTTTCTCACCTCTACACACAAGTACACACACACAGACACTCACACATTTATTCACTCATATACATACATATAAACTTTTTTTTCATCACAGATTATAAAAGATTGTGCTCCCTCCTTAGCCCAAAGCACATGCAGTGTTTCCTGGGAGAAATGTTCCGGTGTCTTCCTTGTGTTAAATCAGCTTAGATGTATGCAGAACAGAGCTGAAGACAGGTCTTAACAGTTTAGCATTCAGATCTCATTTTCTTTGGCAGTGCTGGGAATGGAACCCAGTGCCTTACGTACACCAAGCAAGCTCTCTGCCCCTGAGGCATGCCCCCAGCCTCAGTAGTTAGGTTTGTAACACATCCTTCCGTGCTCATCCCAGCGGTCTTTGCCCGTACCACAGTCTTCCTGACTCCATTTCCTCAGAAAACAAACCTTTCCAACTTTGGGGTGATGAACGTGGGCTGACAGGGGGGTCTAGTTGTTCTTGACACCTCCATCCAACCCTGTGTCCAACTCCCCCCTTCTTCTCCATGTGAAGCTGCCGACAACACTGATGCTCTGACCTTCGCTTGACGGGAGCTCTCCCTGTTGAGTCCTCAGGCCCCTCTACCCCACCCAGGCAGTCTCTGTTGATTCGGTCCTGTCATCCTACCCACCGGCCACTGTTCCTGAAAGGCTGTGTGCTGTGCTCTATCCTCAGGTAGTCTAAGCCTTTCAGTATCTAGGCCTCTCTATTCCTTTACACTGATAAAGATAAATATATTTTCTCTCTTTCTTATTAATAGAGGGCAAATAAATTTTAAGGAGCCAATTTGAGGATAGAACTTAAAAAAAACTTTTCTACTTAAAATTAATCTGTAAACTTAGCATACAAGTCATAGACATCACCATGGCATTTTCATACTTAGGTGTCATTATATCTCAACCTCATTGCCTCTCCATTTCCACTTTCACCCTCCACTTATCTTCCTCTCTGCCCTACGTCCCCAAATGGTGAATGATGAAAACAAACTTTTATCACCTTTTATTATGCTGGAACATCACTGCTTCTGTGGAACCCTCGAGTTACTTCCCCAAAGCGTGGGATGCCCCACACTCCCGTGCGTGGAAGGCCATCGCCTGCTTCAGTGACAGCATTTTGCACTCTGGAACACTAAGTTCGGAGCCTTACGGTACAGGTTCTGTGGACGTTTCCCCTGTTCTCACAGTACAGCGAAGAGGGTGTGGCAATGGTTTCTATTTTATAGACTAGGGCAGAGGCCTGGAGAGGTGAAGAGAAGAGCTGGGACTCAAAGCTTAGCTTTCCTCCCCGTCCCGGCGGTGCTGCGCGTGGAAAGATGCCACCTTTTGGTGGCTAGAACCGGGTGAAATAGAGCCCAACAAAAAGCAGTATTTCCAACCCCCAGGCAACAGCAGCTTCCTGATACCCCGCCCTACTCTGCCTCGGACCCAGGCTCTCCTCCACAGGTCAAAGGTGAGTCTGTCCAGCTAGCACCTTGCCTGGTCGATTCAAGACTGGGTGGTGAGAATGGGAGGCACCTATCGCTCCTGTCTTCCAAGCAGGCGCGTGCTGCCGGATCCTGAGGCCTACAGCTACCTTCGTCCCCTCCACCACCGCACCCCAGCTGATGCCCGAGTACCCGCCACAGGGCATGTCCGGCCAAACCCATCGCAGCTTTCACAACGGCTACCCGGAGTCCGGTCACCCCACCACCTCTCGTCACCAAACTGGGCCCTCCAGGCTGGGGACGAGTTGCTCTTACCATCAGCAGCCTTCGTGCCACGTTCCCGGGTAAAGGATAAGACACTTAGTTATGAACCAGCTCAGCATCCACAGGTGGAGTGCCAGGAGGGAACACGCGTCTTGTCCAGCAGGTGGCAGTGTGGAAACGTACATAGGACACTAGGAGGCCTTGAGGTTCCTGGCTTTTCAGTTTCATTAGAAATCTCCTCAACTCAAGGTCTTCAACAAAAAGTTGAAATGTCAGGGAAATGTAGAACAGCTTCGGGTTGTGAGACGAAGCATCGCTTTCTTATGCTGCCTCAGCAGAGTGGCTCAGGGCAGTTTGAGAACGAGTTAGTTCTCAGATAACTGTCAATCAGGTTTTCTTTCTTGTCTTCTCTTTCGGGCTTCTATTCCTCCTTCTCTGGAAAGCCAGGGCCATCTGTGACTGCGGTCAAGTTCCATGCAAAGAGAATTCACAGATGTAAAAAAGTTCAGACCGAGTCTTCTCTGCTTTGAAGCTATTGGAGGGTTGGATCTTAGATTGGTTGGCTATAGAAAGACGAAATTTCAGAAGAGTAGTGCCCAAGAGACCTTCAAGACTTGGGATTAGACTTATGAAATCAGAGAGCGAAGGCCTGGGAAATTCAGTTTGTTTTCAAGCAGCGAGCAAAGATGCTAACCAACCTTTTGGTTTCTTGACTTCAGAGCCTCGGTGCCTCCGACAAAGAAGAGAAAGCACATGCAGATTCGCGAGGACCCTGGGGACTGCTGCTCCTGGGCCCACCAGCACACGCAGATTCGAGAGGACGCTGGAGACTATGCGTGGGCCCACCACTTCAGACCAAGTGAGCAACTGTGGCCTTGTGACAAATCAAGGCATGAAAGTCTTGACTGCTGTGTCAAGGCTTTTGACCTGCCTCTCAGCAGCCTCACACAGCTATGTTCCCTCTCACAGACGAGCAACAATGGGCTCTGGGACTGTACTCCACTCTCTTGATGTATCAGTCACTCAAGTGTCCCAGGGGCAGTTGCTCTGTCTCCCCTGTGCACATAAAATGCTTTCTATTTCAGGAGAAACAACTCTCAGAGGATACAGACCCCAAGCCTGGGGAAATGATGTATACAGAGCTTTCAAGAGCCTATAGGCTACCTTTTTCTTTGTTGCCCATGATCCTTTGTAACTCTGGGTTCAAGTGTGTGTGTGTGTGTGTGTGTGTGTCCACAGTGTTTTGCTTACCTTAAATAACATGTAGCACATTTGTTTTGAGCTTAAAGTGATGAAGTTGGGGATAGCTTGGTCTTTTGGAACCTGAAGGCGAACTGTTTGGAATTTTTAGGATAAGGGACAGTTCTCCAAGCCAATTCTACTTGCTACTATAATCATTCAAATTCATGCAGTGTGAACAGCGCCCCAAATTCAGTTTATAAACCTTATGCTCTGTCTCCAGGAGTCAGTTTTGTGAGAAACCCAGGATTTCTTCCAGGGGCTCCTTCTCCTCTTCCTGTCCCTAAGCTCTCACCATCCATGCTCTAAAGCAACCAGCTGGGGTTGCTGCCTTTGGCTTAAATAAACCTGTGGTAGGAGAGAGCCTTTCCAGAGTCAACTGGCTTCCCCTGTGGTATGGGCACATGCGTATGTAACTTTGTTGTTTTTGTCTGTGGGCAATGACCTCACCCTCCCAGCCAGTTCCCAAATGTGGTTGTCCCTGAGAGTGGCCATGCTAGAATTGCAGTGGACATCAGTTCTGTTTGAGGTGAACCTTGACCTTACTGCCTTATCTCCTTTCTCACTGATCCATGAGCACTAATAGCCTTTTCTCCCCCACCACTGAAGCTCAGAATGCTTACTAAAGTCCTGCTTTTGGATATAGAACCTTCCGTCTACATTTCTGTACAAGGGCACCCTACTTTCTTTAGGGATGCAACCCACATCTAGAACATAAACACTAATTACATTTCCAGGCAGCTGAGGGAACCATCTGCCCACTCTTTTTCGGATGCCAGATGCCCCAACTGCCACTCATATCTTCCAGGAGTTTTTTCAAAGGACCACAGTGCTGCTCAGTTAGTCTTGGCCAGTCCAGAGCTAAGCTTCATCCTGTGGTGGTTTTTCTGTCTTAGAATGGGCATTGTTTTATTTTTTATTTTTTATTTTTTTCACCATCTTCAAGGAAAGCTCTGAAGAGCAAGTGAAATGTCTCAGCAGTTAGGAACTCCTGGATCCCTTGTTTAAGTCGTCTTTAAAGGTCACTGAAAAGCTGGCTGAAGGTAATTGGTTCCAGATAACTGAGAATGAGAAACAAGCAATTCCCAGGACAAACAAACAAACAAACAAACAAACACACAAAAGACCTAGCTAATCCAGATACCGTAGTATTGGCGGTTTTGGTATACATTTTCTGGTGCAGAGCTGCTGTTTGATTTGGTGATGCAGAGACCTGGGGCCTTTACAACCCTTGACAGTGGAAGAAGAGCCTGCACTGGTCTTATTGTCAGGGGTTGGGCTGTGTTTCAGGATCAGCCTTTGATAATATATTAGTTTTATTCTCATGCTGTTTCAAAATGCCTGACAACAGCAATTTAATGAAAGCCAAAAGCAATTTCTTTTGGCTCACAGTGTGAGCATATACTCCATCACTGTAGGGAAGACATGACCGTCTAACACACTCATACTGTATCTGTGGTCAGAAAGCAGAGCAAAAATGCTGGTACTCAAGCCCGCTGCCCACATCTTTCTTTTCTTCCTATTCAGCCATGTATCGCAGCCCACAGGATCCTGTCATCCACACACGGGGTGGGTCTTCCCTGCTCGGTTGAGAATTTCCAGAAATGTTCTCACAGACACCTCCAGAGGTGCGTCTCAACGGTGATACTGAATCCCATTAGTTCTACAAGAACTACTAGTCACAGCTGGCGACCTTCCCCAAGAAGTACGCATTGGGCAAGGCTTCCAAGGCGCCATTTGTGGCATTTGAGTTGTAGAACTGCTGTGTTGCTGTGAACACAGAATATTTCATGGGGGAGGAAATACAGACTCTCCTGACCCCACTTGCCTGAATATGAGAGGGTGGTAGTTATACCGTAGACCAACCTATAGAGAATATGTTTTTTGACGTGTGAATCTAAAAGAATTTGAAAAAGCGGCTTCTCACCACGGAGTTGACATAAAGAGCCAAGCCCTGGGGCAGTTTCTCAAGTTTCAAAAAGCACCAGGGGCTGGTTATTAAAAGTAATAAAAATGGATTCCAGTATCGACCTTGGGCCTGTGCCTGAAATTTCCCAGTGTCCTTGTGGTCTCCAGGACCCCATCGACTCCCTGCATGGCTGGCAGGGATGGATACCTTTACCATTTTGATGGGGGAAGGGCAAGAAATGCCTTTGTCTTCCACGATAACGTCAATGTCATTGGGACTGAACTCCTTCTGGCACACTTTTTCCTGACGAGGGCTGCAGGGGCAGAGCTGGCTTTCGGCTGTATCCGGTACCCTGACCTTGTTACCGCATGTGAGCAAGTACGAGGCCATGTTAGTCGGCCTCCGGTCAGCGCAGCAGATAGAGTCACTTCGAGACCAGTATTTCCCTAGGCTTTTCCGGAATAGCAGACATCAGCCATATCATAGAGTTCTGTGTGAATGCTCTCCAGTAGCAGGCATCGTCCCACTGAGCCGCCTCAGTAACTCAGGAGGAAGCTGGTGGCGCCCACACTTGGCAGATGAGGAAACGGAAGCTCGGAGAGCATCACTGTTTTCCTGGGTGTTTCTCCTTTAAGAGTGGAGGTGTGAAGCAAGTCCTTGGATGGAAGGAACAGGCTTTGTGGGCTTTTTTGTGATAGCCCACACCTGGTCTTTCCAACACCTGCTATCGCCCTTATTCCTGATCTCAGGCAAGATGTCTGTCTTCCACCCCCATCTCCTACTTCTTGCCAGTCAGTTCTCTTTCTGCCTTTATGTCCTTCCTTTTGATGACCCAATGATTATCATTAGTATTGCTCACAAGACATGGGCATCTTACCAACGGCTACACCATTGAAGAAAACTTCTCATCCTCTCCTACCATGTCATATCCAGAATACAGGGTTCTACAATATTCTACCTCATCCTGTAGCCTTTATGTTCTCTTTTTTCCCCTCTTCTGCGCTGTTCTCTGAGCCTCGGAGGAGATGCTATCTCATTTATGGCTGAAAAGTCAACAGTCACTTATTCTTGTCACTATGACTATTTTATTCGTCTCTGTAGTCACCACTGACCACTACAGAAAGAAGCTTCTCTGGCCAAAGTTGACAGTCCGGCCAATGGACATAAACATGATTATGTGGAAGACAATTTGATGGGCATATCATGATCATTTAGCAAAAAAACAGTGGTAGCCTTCCTGCAAGGGCCTATGCTCTCCTCAGCCATACGCTTTTGACTAGGTTTATAATACCAGAAGTGAATTTCCTCCTGTAGAACAGGCCTCAAATTCAAGCAGAAAGTGGTCGTTTACTTCCATCACAGACTTGACACTGTTGTACGAGGGTTTCATCTTGCCTGGCTGACTGGTAGAATCACTTTCAGGGTCTACACTGAACAAGTCTGCTGGTCTCAGTCCTTCCTCAGCAGTAAGCATAGCATCTTACGGCCCTCTGTGGGCTAGCCAGCAAAGAGGAAGTTTCCAGCCTGGTTCTAGATTAATTCCTCTACACCCTGTGACCAGAGAATGTGTATCTTTGGGTCTTCCCGGCTACTTTTGGTGGGAAACCCATAACAGTTGCTATTGCCAGCATTGTTTTGGAGGTCTCAGGGCCTCCTTGGCACAAGGAAGTAGCCTATCCCCGGCACAGAGATTTTCATTTAATTATATCATTAATTGATATCATTAATGAGCAATTTTAATTTCCCCTGTGGCTAAGGATGCTCAACAGTTTTAAAAACATTTATTAGGAGCCATGGCTTAGTAGTTAAAGGCACATGTCGCTCTTACAGAGGTCCTGGCCCTACATGATGGCTCACGACCACCTATAACTCCAGTTCCAGGGAATCTGACACCATTTCCTGATCTCCATGTGCACAAAAAACATACAGGACACACAGACATACATTTAAGCAAAGCACTAATAATAAAATAAGTAAATATTTTAAAATATTTGTTGGCCATTTGTATCTTTTCCTTTGCAAGTTCTCTGCTTAGTTTCTTAGACCAATTTTTAGGTTGGGTTGTTACTTTTCTTGTTTGGCTTCTGTGTATGTCCTCGGCATAAATTCTCTGTCAGAGGTGTATCTAGCAAAGGTTTTCTTCCATTCTATGAGGTGTCTTCCACTCAAATTCTTTCCTTTGCTATTCAGAAGCTTCTTAGCTTTGTGAGGTCCCATTGAACTTCATGCTGGCCTTACTCTAAATGACAGAGTCCTATTTAGAAAGTTCTTATCTAGGACTGTCTATTACCCCTAGCAATTTTAGAGTAGAAGGTCTTTGATCCGTGAGGAGCTGAGGTCTGTATGGGTGAGAAACTAGGACGTAGGTTCATTCCTTTACATGTGGATAGCTAGTTTTTTAAGCACCAGTTTGAAGAGTCTACATTTTTCTCCAGTGTGCATCTTTGACATCATTGGGAGACACAGAATATTGGTGTCACAAAGACCTGTACCAAATTAGGATGTTGACTGAAACAAGTAAAATTGAAAACCAAAGTCATCAAATTGCCTGATAACAAACATAAAACCAATTAGATCTGTTGGCTTCTAAACACGAAAATTTAAGATTGGCCCCAGAAGTCATGTCACCTCAGGACCAGGTTGCCAACATTGTTATCCCCACCTGCTCAGTGCTGACATCCTCCCCAGATGGACTCTCCTGTTCCCAAATGGTACCAGCTGGTCTTGAGAACATATCCCAGAGGTTCAAACCCCATGGGAAATAGAGCATCTTGGTCACTTCATTACCCAAAGTGCTGAGATGTGCCGTGCTTGCATTGCATTACGTTACATGGCCACCCCAAATGCAAATAGTTAATGCTAAATGTTGACTGATCCTGGGTGACTGCCCTTCTGGGGCTGGGCCTAGCTTTCATTAGAACCACACATACAGGAAGTGTCAAGGAGCTGTGTAGGAGGCAGGATCCTACAGGTGTCCAACCACCTTTCTTGGAGCTCGCTGACCTGAACTTATCCTTTCTTACGGCTGTGGGTTCCAGTCAGCAGCTCTTCTCTTGCCACCCAGCACTTGGTGGTTCCCACGACTGTTCTGCTTCACACACGGCCTGCTCCCTAGCCCGTGAGCTATCTGCGAGGCTTAGCGGTTCAGCCGGGTAGGAATAGTCTAACCCACCTGTTTGTTTGTTTGTTTTCACAGTGACAAGTAAGACTCATGGCATTGATGTGCAGGACCACGACCGAGAGGGACATAATGGGATGCCTGTGGACCAGTGCTCTCCTGCTCTGAAGTGGCAGCCATACCAAAGTGTTCCTTGGCATAGCTTATTAAACAGTCACTATGAAAAACTGTAAGTGGTCTTAGCAGTGCGTTGGGATGGACTGGAAACGTAGTGCTATATTTTAGGACTAAATCCAAGTATTTGGGCTTAAGTGCAATCTCTGATCAAATCAGGTGGGCCACTGAGAAAGGGTCTGTCCAGCCCCTTATAATTTGTATCTTAAAGAATCGTTGGGACAAAGGCTTCTGGCTTTCAAGAGCCCAGGCTTGTAATTACAACTTACTTTAATTTACCTACTAAATGTTGGAGGGAGAGGAACTTTTCCCAGGATCACAGGCCCGGTTAAAAGGAAAGCTGGGGGGCTGGCCAGATGGCGGAGGTGCTTGCTGTCAGGTTTGCTGACGTGAGTTCCATCGCTGGAACCTGCATGGCGGGAGGAGAAAACCGGGTCCTACAAGTTGTCCTCTGACCTCCACATGTACATCACCTTCAAAATAAACGTTTAGAAAAATAAAATAAAAGGCAAAAGGGAAACAACTGGAAAATAACTAACACCTAGTCCTGCCATAAATTTGTGATGCTGTAGAATTCTTTGGCGGTCATAGTGAACTGGTTGCCAGGTGACTTGACTACTCCTAATATTTTTGCTGAGAATCGATGCTGTCAGGTTCAAAGTCAACACTTTCTGACAAAGAGTAGAATTTTCAAGTAACAGATACAACACGAGATGAGAATACTGGGCCCTGCACTTGAGGGTCTTTTGGGTATTTTCCAAATTCAAATACAGCAAAGCTTTTCTCTGGGACCGTTAGGCTGGTTAGGCTACAGGAATAAACATTTTTCTTGAAGTCAAGCCTAAGGAGTCAAAAAGATTTTTGGGAGTTGTGTTTAATAGGTATCAAAAGGAAGCTAATTTCATTGCAATCTCACAACTGTGCCTGTGTCTGTATGCAATTTGAAAACAAAGGGAAGGCTTCTCTATCTTGCTTCTGAGACAGCCTTCCCTTGGTCATCTTTTGGAGAACATTTTGTGTTCTGTCTGAAGCATGAAACGGTGACACACAAGGTGTGTGTCTTAGTAAAAGCCTTCCTGTTTCCATGCATCTGAGTTGGCCAACTTTTAAAAGGTAAGTGTTCTCTCTCTCCTCTCAGAAGACACTTTTAAAATGTGTTTCTGTGTGGTTTAGTGTGTAGAAGCACTCAAGGGCAGTTCTGAGTTCCATCCCAGGAACCCACAAGATGGCAGGAGAGAACCAAATCTGACCTCCACCTGTGCTGGCACTCTAGAGTCTAACTCATAGACAGAGCACACACACACACACACACACACACACACACACACACACACACACACAC